ACAACCCTGCCTTCCCAGACTCTCCTTCTCCAGGAACCCCTGCTTCTCTTCTCAAGGAGCTACTCCTGCCTGGCACCATCTCCACTTGGCTAATTCCCCTTATGGCCCCTCTATTGAACTGTTGTGTTGTCCATTTCCCTGTGACAAGGGCTCTGGTTACAGAGTTATTGATTGGTTTCATGCAGACAGATGGGCCCTTCCTGGCTCCCATCGAAATCCCTGGCTGTATGGGCTGATTGTTGCCTCTCAGGGTATAGGATTGCACCAGAGACCACCCTCCATGCAGTCTCCTTTGCCCGGGCTGTGGATGGTAATAAATGGAGTCAGCCTGAGCGATAATAAAAGCAATCCAGTAGGGTTACCTGTGCAGACACAAGATTTATGCCTCTTCATATTTGATGTGATTGTTTTATTGAGTTCTCAGAACAGTTGGGACTTTATTTGCTTATTTTGGGGGTTCCCCCCTCTCATTTCCTCTTTACATCACCTTCTAAACCCAACCTGGAGTTTTTCTTAAGATAACCACTCATCTTTACTTCTCAAAAGTTGCCAGCTGAGGCAGGAACTCAAGGCAACCAACCAGTGAAAACCCACAAGCCCACCGGCGGGGAATAGTCAGACCCAGAAGCCCAGCACAACCTTCCAGGTTCGAGCCCAGAACCCATATGGTAGAAGGAGAGAATCAGCTCCCACAGGTTTTCCTTTGACCTGCCACCTGAGAACTGTGCTAGGTGTGCCCCAAACATACATACACACACACACACACACACACACACACACACACACACACACACACACACGATCAATCTATCAATCAATAATAAATAAAAATTTGAAACATTAAAAACACAAGAAACAAATCAGCAACCATGCCTGTGTCACAAGCCTCTCTGAATATGGGTGACCAGAACAGCAGAGACTCCCTCTAGGAAAATTGGGTGAGCTGTCTTTGAGACAGAAACCATGGGGAAGATACTTCTCACAGCCCCTGTCTGAGAGGCCTAGAGCCCCAGGACAATTCTCTGTCCTTATCTTTCTCATTCCTCTTTGGGGATGAAGCCTTTTTCTTAACTCACTGACTCACCCTGACTTTTTGCTTGTCACCAACAGTGGTGACAAGCAGCTGCAAAGATCTAGAGATGTGGCAAGCAACGCCACCTCTCTCCCCTAGCTTCCATGCCAAGCCTGGTCCAAGAGTCAAACCTAAGTGATCTATATCTGAGTTTCAGAGGCAGAAACAGACGTATTGGTCTAAGGTGTGTCTCCAGAATTCCTATGGCTATGATGGGACTGTCAGCTTACTTGGAAAGACAAGTGATAGACCACTGGTCACCACCAGACCATAGACAAACACCTGAGAATTACACAGTAGGGACACCAGAGTGACACAAACTGGCATTACTTAACACAGCAATGAGCCTGCAGCCTTCTCGAAGCCAGTGCTGCCACTGCAAGGAGGAATGTGCTCACTTCAAGCCATACAGGCTAAGGAAGAATATAGGGGTTGTGGGTAATCAGTGATCCCCAAGAGTCCACGGCCCCAAAAAGTGTTAACTAGCTTCAAGAAGTTCATCAGCTAGCTCAGAGACCACTCCCAGAGAGTCTTCAGCAGCTCTAGACTCCACCTGGAGTTCCTGCTGTTCTCTCAAAGAAGTGGTCTCTACCCAGGGCAACAGTCCAACCTGAAGACTCAAGTGTTTATCAGGAAAATCCTTCCTGCTCCATCAATAACTCTACCGGATGAGACAACTTCCCTCCTCTTTTGGTATGTGGATCTTCCGTCTCTACCCTGCCCATAGACAATTTCCCATGCCAGGTTTCAATCTAAAATTACCTGTTTACAAACACTGTGCCCAACAGTGGTGCCACACAAGCTGAAGAGCTGGCAACTCCACTTTCAGCTGTAAGTAGCCCAATATTTATAATGATTCAGTAAATCCCACAACCCGGTCAGAGCTGAGATTTTAGCCAATGGTCTCTAGGTGTGGATGGCTCCCTACCACACCTTTGGCCCAGAGAGGCATTTCTATGAGGATTTTCCAGGGGGAGAACTCAGGTTGGACAGCCAGGGCTTTATTGTGGAAGGACAAGAGAATGCCAAAGCCATTTTTAAAGCATGAAAAGCAATTTAGTTTATAGCCATAATAGCATATTTCCAGTGTGGCGACAGCATCTGTTTGGGGGAGGAGAAGACGAAACCCTTTGGCTCAGGTGGGTGTGCAGGTGTAGACTTCCTTTCTTGCCAACGCTGGCTCCTGAGCACCCTTACTCAAGGCGCGCGCGCGCGCGCGCGCGCGCGTGTGTGTGTGTGTGTGTGTGTGTGTGAACAATAATAGCAATACAGGTAAATACCCTACCATCCCCCAAGCTCTGGACTCAGGAACTCCCAGCTTTCCAGTGCATACCACTCTCTATTCACAGGGAAATCTCCAGCTCCTTCCTACAGTGAGAATTCTCACAACAGAAAGGCCCAAGTTTGATACAACCAGCGCTTGCAGGAATGCTGCACCTTTTTCAGGCATTTGCAACAGACACAGCTCCAGAAGAACCTTCCCCTTCAGGACAGAGGTACCCGAAGGAATGATATTGATGATTGGGGTGCCCAAATGTGTCCCAGTGACACACTAGGAAGCCCCAACCAATTTTTCCAAAGTATCAACCATGGGAGGATTCCTCCCAAAGCAAAATTAAAGACAGCCTGATAGATCCTGCTGACAAATTAAGCCTTGAAGCCCAACTGCAGAGCCAGGGCTGTCCATGCTGCTGGTTGGTGGCTTCTCTGCTCCTGTGTTCATGCTCCATCCACCTTCAGCAACCCATACCCAGCAATGCCTCTTTTTCCACACCCAAAGGAAGCCTGTGTGAACAGGACCCAGTGCCCAGCAGCCTCTGTGGCTATCAGAGTGGTCGGACTCAGGCCATTCATTCCCCAATGCTCATTTCATGAACAGCCAGCTAGTCTACTTTCTTCCAATTTGGTAGGTGCACCTTCAGACTTCTGGAGTTGGATGTTGGGGTCACTTGTCCTCTGTACTCCAGAACTTTTTTTTTAGGATGAACATCCTCAAACTTGGGCCTAAACCAGCTTTAAAAATAGCCTGGCCATCCATGGATATGTGTTGGAGGGGGCGCGGACACGGAGCGGGTGCTTGGCAAGGCTGTCGCCACACCACACGCAAATAAAGCAAGTCACTGTAACTCTATGTGTCTTGGACTCTCCCAAAGCTTGCAATTCCTATCACAGATAATAAGTGTATCTCCAAAGCAGTCCCCAGGGCACTGCTACTCAGCCCAGTGGCATTACTCCTCATCTCAGGCACTCTTGGCTCAGCCACTGTCCTTCCAAGACCTCAGCTCTAAATCACTGCAAGGACCACCAGCTGGTCTAGAGACAAAGTCTCTGGGCGACTCAGGAAAAAAAAAAAAAGAGGAGAAAAAAGTACTGTCCTCTTCCCCTGCCTAACTGTCATACCTGCCCCAGTACCCAAGCTTCCCCAGCCTCCTGACTTTTAAATGCAAACACTTATTGCTTTCTCAAACCACCCAGTGTTTTTCTTCAGCTCTTTTGGAAAGTGTCTAAATGTCAAAAAGCTGCACATTTCCAGTACCTAGCTGAGCCAGGCCCAGGGAGCTGGAGAGTTTCAGAGGGTGTATAATTAGCCGATCAGTATTATGTTGCCCTGTTCATAACTGAATAACCATTTTAATACAGATGGCACACACTGGGATAATTTCTGGGGTCGCCTTGCAGTACGTTACAGCACGAGTGTGGCAGAGGGAATCTTCTTTAGCCAAGGTACATTCTACCAGCTAATTCTACCTGCTGTTTTCAGGATGATTTGGGATAATTCCATATCATTTGCAAAATATTAAAAAAAGATAGGTGATGCTAGTTGCCGAAAGAAACACCATCTGAATTATTAGTTGTCCTGATAATGGGCCTATGAAGAGTACAAAGAATAACAGAGTATGAAACTCTTAACTGTCTTCTCATTTGGGGGTGCCCAAGAATGGGGGGACCTGCTTCTGGCTGCAGTGTGACTTTTGTCATCCTGACTCTCTGCAAACAGTGGTCAGGTTATAACAGTTCTGCAGCTATGGAGCCAGTTTGGCATCCTAGGATTTAGTGCTGCCTGAGTGTTCTGTAGTCCCCCCCAGACTGATACCCTGGCACACACTGGCTGGGTGGGGTACATATGCATAAAGCATGACCGTGTGATCTGGTACTTAAGAGACTTAAGTATCCTGCAAGTTGAAATGACTAGCGCCTTCATGGTCCCAGTGTCTTAACCCATCAGTATGGAAAAGATTTCAGCCTCAAGATAGGCATGCTTGCTAGTGGGGACATCTCCCAAGAGTCAGCCGCAGGCACCCAGCTCTCACTCCCCGCCTGGCATCCCACTCCTTGTCCAGCTCCCCTACTCTCTGCCAAGTCCTGGCTGGTGGCTGGCATCTGCTCTGTAGGCCTGGATGCCAGTACTTCTCGGCCGGAAATTTGTGTGGAGCTGGCTAGCAAGACCTGGGCTCCTGGGAGGCAAGCTTTGTGGGAGTTGGTCGAAAGGGTAAGGGAGTCAGGGATCTGACTGCCCCTGGGGAAGGGTACATGACTTTAGAAAGACAAGTCTGTTTGGTAGCAGTGAATAGACAGTGGTCATTTTAAAAGCTTTGCTATGGGCTGTGATTGTCTCTAGATCCCGAGGCGGGTAATCTTGGAGTCTTAATTACCACAAACACTTGGATTCATTTCCAGGACACCGGCGGGAGAAGCCTGGCAGGGAAAACCCAGCTCTGAATTGGAAAGAGCCCTGTCTGTCTGTCTGTCTGTCTGTCTGTCTATTTCTGCCTCTCAGGCCCATTTTCCCTGCCCAAAGACTTCAGGCTGGGAGCTAGAAGGAAGGGTAGAGGCTGGAGAGAGCAAAGACGGGCCCTGGGAGATGGCCCAACAGGCAGGAGTAGGGAACTGGAGCTCTGCCCTCCAGGCCCAGGGGGGCTTTGCTCACCTGTTGATGGATGAGACGCTGGGAACTGTGTCATTGTCGCAGATGCCCTCAGCTAGCAGCCGGTCACGGATCTCCCAGGCGAACATAGTCGGGTTCTGACGCTTGTATTCAGCAATCTTGTCCACCACTTTGGGCGTTGCCACCTTGGGCTTGGAGCCACCAATCACTCCAGGCTTGATGCTGCCAGTCTCGTAGTACCTGGGCCAGGAAGGCCGTCGGGGTCAGCAAGAAGCTGGTGGTAGCAAGGGCAGGGGGGCTGCAAGCTCCAGAGCTGCTAAGCCGCTCTCCCTCCCTAGGCATCAGTGTGAAGGGAAAAAGGCCCTGTGTAGCTGAGCAGACTCCAGAAGGTGCTTGACTAGGGCGGGAAATGGGCACAGTAGCTGGGCTCTGAAAGTGGCTACAGCAGGCATCCGGAGTGGAAGTCTGGCTTGGGAAGCAGAGAAGGACCCATGCTGGGAGAGCTAACCCCACCTGAAACAGGGAATCTCTATGGAACCCAGATTCCCCTTTAGCCTTCTAAATGCTGCCTCTTCCCATCTTGGGACCCCTTTCTTCCAACCCCGTTCACATTGAGTAGCTGGAAAAAAGTTCCCCTTTTCTGAGTGTAGCTGCTTTCCTCGGAGGGTCACTGGGTAGACTACACTCCACCCTCACTCCAAGGCCCAGTCATCATTCGAATGCCCTTCTCAAAAGGGGCAGCCAGCCCTTTTAGATCCCTTCAAGTCTGGACCTTCATTCCTGCCTGGCATCTCAACTTTTAACTAAAGCCTCAGCTGGGAAGGGAGGCAGCACCGGGCCCTCACCTGCCCAGGATTTTGCTGACACAGCCATGGCTGACCCGCAGCTGCCGGGAGATGTCACAGGGCCGCACACCCTGGTGGGCCAGCTCCACGATGCGCTGCCTCACCACGTCGGGTAGGGGTCGGCCGTTCACAAACACCCCCCCAAGCTGGTTCACACCCCCGTGCCCTGCTGGGGAGAGACAAGAAAAAAACACAACACCCCACACACAGCAGGGACCGGCCATTAGTCAGGGTCCGAGGCCCGCCACGCCACGTGCAAAGGGAGCAGGCAGGGCTAAGGGGCTTATCCCGGGACTGGGGGAGAAAGGTGGCTTGGTAGGCATGCAAGATAGAGGATTAGAAACCAGAACCTGGCTAGCTCTAAGAGCCCGCCTCCCATACTAGTGCGCTGCAAAGGAGAAAGAGCAGGAAGAGTACAGAAGCCAGGAGATCGAACAGAGGCAGAAAATGGAGGGGAAAAATAAACGACAAAGGGGGAATAATGTCAGAGGAATGAAAGTAGGGTGGTGGGGAGAGGAAAGACCGGCCAGAGACAGCACTGCTGCCCACTAGGAACCCGCCTGCGCCGC